TTAGATAGACAGCCGAAAGCATCAGAATGGTCATTTCTGATATCCTTGCACGCTTACTTTGAATGTGAGAAGTGCATAACACAAGCTTTCTGTAATAAATGAGAACTCTCTGCAGCAGGGGAACACACTTAACACTGTTAACCAACCTCCTACAGTTATACAAATATTTTCATCACTTTTAAGTTTGGTCAAAGCAGTGGCCTTCATTTTGATTCAGATGTTATCACTGCTGATATTTTAAAGGGAAAAAACACTGGCTATGAGAACAACAAACTAAATGAAGAATGAAGGGAGCAAACCTCCCTACCACATTTGACCCTGCATGAATGTCAATGCTAATTTCTTCTTCTTCAGCTTAAAGAAAGTCTTTATTATAAAATACTTTTAAAATTCTGTTTCACAGTTTTATTATCACTGAGTTCTACCTATACTCACACAAATTCATTTCTGGATATATCAAATAATCGTTTTGCAATTCTTTCAAAACTACATCATACCACTTCTCAACAGCATAAGGTGATGTGTTTAAAGTAACATTTTATTAAAACCTATTATCATCATTAAAACATAAAAGCCTCGTATTTTAGTATGTCTGACATTTTTTGTGGAAAATTAACACAATTGTGAATCAATTTAGTTTATAGATTAATCGTTTAAGCATTACAAAAAGAAAAGGATTTCTCCTACATACAGTAAATGTATCATTTCAGTTTTTATAACATGTGAAATATAGAAACTACAATATTAAGATAGTTAAACTGCTGGTTAACATGCTGGCAGATTAGCTTGTTGCAGTAGGGTTGTTCGACACACTACCTTCATATTCTTGTCGGATGTAAAAAACACTTTGGATATTTTTACAATTTTCCGTTTTGGTGAACCATCTGATCATCTGTACATTCATGTGTCTGGCCCCATTGGACATGACTTCAAGGCTGAAATCATTACAAAGAATTGATGGCCAAGACTATGAAAATAAGACCCCGGTTGTAATACAAACAACCATCTTTGAATGTGTTTGAGAACTGTTTCCACAGCAGGTCCGCTGCTCTCCCTGCAGGATGGGAACTGAATGCTGATCAATGCTAGTTTTACTCTTTACTCAGTGTGTGAGGTTGAGAAGGAGAGGAAGTGATGTTTCCCATCATGCTCTCTGCCTCTTTCACCGCCAGTGGCGCAAACCGCGTAACCATGGTTACCAGAGTAAATGAGAGATGGTGCCCTGAGCTGGGATGACAGGGAGAGGGGGCAGGGAGGGTGTGTGTGTGTGTGTGTGTGTGTGTGTGTGTGTGTGTGTGTGTGTGTGTGTGTGTGTGTGTGTGTGTGTGTGTGTGTGTGTGTGTGTGTGTGTGTGTGTGTGTGTGTGTGTGTGTGTGTGTGTGTGTGTGTGTGTGTGTGTGTGTGTGTGTGTGTGTGTGTGTGTGTTATAAAGTGTGCATGGATGCATGTAGGCATTCTGTCGGAGCGGTTGGACTCGTGAAAACCAGATCCATACACAATGATAGGCTTTAATGTTGTGTGTCTGGGGAAATAAAGGCCAATGAGATGTGACAGATGAACGGGAGTAGGCGGCTGATATGAAGACGGAGAGACGAGTGCCCGGCGTACCCAAACACCTTTACCTCCTGATTTACATCATAGGACGCGGCCATGCTGCAGTGACGTCTCGCTGCACAGCCTGTCTGGGTTTTATTGTTTGGGCATCAGTGCTGTGTGTATATTTATGTGTATGTGTGCTTGTTGCTCAAAGCTTTATCTCCTCCATTTGGAAACCTCTCTCTGCGGCCCCGAAGAGTCATGTGGTAGCCATGTGGCTCACGCTAATGGACAATTAATGGGCTTGCAAACAGCTCGGCTGTCATCTAAGTGCCTGCAGATAAAGCAGTTTGTCATACTCTGTGTGCACACAAATACACACAGAAATACATATGCAAACACACAAGCATCTACACACACACACAGACAGACAGACAGACAGACAGACAGACAGACAGGTGTGCACACGCACACACACACACACACACACACACACACACACACACACACACAGGCTTATCACAGTATGAACACAGATTGCTCATCTTAAGTAAACCGACTGAGACTGTGTTTATCTGTATCTGTGTGCTTTAACATGGAGATACTGACATGGTGTACAAGAAATACACATTTTACATCGATGCATGGATGAAATACTTGACAGTCCAAACAAAACCAGGAATTACAAAAAATAAATAAAAATCTCTGCCACTAATGCCAGGAAATGTCCTCATCCAGTGTCTTTAAGGCGGTCCACTACCGACTTAAAGACACTAAGCTTGATATAGTAAAATAAACACAAGTACTATCGCACTACCCCGCACGGTAAAAAAAAGGTTTTGGTTCCACGCTTGCAGACTTTAATTATATCACTGGCATAACGGCATTTTAAATTCTTGAACCGGCTCACTAGAGTCTGCTTTACGACATAAAACTAGGTCGTTAACAATAACAAACATAAAACTTTGACGGTCCAGAAACGTGGATACATACAACACAAAACAAAAAACGGTATTGTTTAACTCAATTCAAAGACTCTTGCCAACATACATTTTTACCATACATAATAATACGCCTATATGGCTCTTACACTAAGCAACTGTTGAAGAAAATAGAGAAAACTACTCATTGGTGCTGAACAGCTGATTATGACAGTAAACCCTCTGAGGCGTAATGAGAGGAAGCTTTTTGCAGACACATTAATCATGGATATAGGTAAGGCCGTGTGATGCCTTTGTGAATTACAAATGCCTTACAGTAATGCTACACAAAACTGAACACTATGTATATTGTTTCTCACTGAACACATTTCTTTAACAGGAAAGCACAGGTGTTGCTAATGACATGAACAATAGCTGTATACCATCTAGGTGTGTGATTACCCTGCACATGTTTACAGCCGAACTGGGGACGTCTTTTTTAAGCACTGTGAAAAGTGCTGTATAATGTAATTTATGATAGGGACTGGTTGAAAATCCACAATAGGTGTAAACTCTCTGTGGAGCAGAGTTCGTCAGTTTCACGCCCGGTATTGGAACCATATCAAATAAACTCAATTCTATTTAATTTAATCCTGATTTCAAGGCCCCGCGGTGACTCACTTTCCACATCAGTAGCATGGGTTACAGGGACACTGAAATGAGCGGAGCCTTCATTAAGGATATTAATTACCCATGTTCTTTAACTGCAAGGAGGAATCAAAATGTCAGCTGTGAAAAAGGTATGTAAGCTTTCACAAAGATACACTAGGATGTATCACAGGGGGAAATTATTGGATTGAATATATTTCTGTTATTGTGTCCAACTCGCATAAAACTGCTTCTGACACTGAATGGTGTAATGTAATAAAGTACATTACTCAAGTACTGTACTCATGTATGATTTTGTTGTACTTGTTCTTAACTTGAGTATTTCCATGTTACTTTTTTGGAAGCAAATATCGTTTTTTTAACTCTACTATATTTACTAGATGGTGTAGATCAGCGGTTTTCAAAGTGTGAGGCGCGCCTCCCCGGGGGGGCGCCAGAGAGCTTCAGGGGAGGCGCAGCGTGAGAAAAAAATATCGAGAAACAGTGAAATCTAGCTAGTTAACTTCAGCTAACTTTATGCGAGCGGCAACATGGATCGATTTTCAGTGAAGTTACCTAAAGTGAGAGAGGAGACAGCGTCTGGCAGAAAACGGAGGAAGTATGACCACGACTATTTGAAGCTAGGATTTTCATGGACCGGTCCTGGCAGGGGCGGACTGGCCATCTGTGTGTTCTGGAGAATCACAGAACGGCCGGCACCGCCCTTTATTTTAATGTTAATAATACTTACTTTGATCAAAAGCAAGTACCGGTCAAGGCTGCATTTAGTCCTGTCTACATTGCATCCCCGCATCATCCGCCTGTGCGCATCAAAGACGCAGACTCATTGTTCCCACTGAAGTAGGGGTGAGTGTAATGAGGAGGCAAGGTTGACGTTCAGTGTGTTGCCGGGAGCATATAAGGATTTATCCACGATGTTGAAAATGTTAAAAAAAAAATGTTTAAATGTTTAAAACATAAAGATAAAAAGGTTTAAAAAAGTTGTTGTTTAATGTTTTAAGGAGGTGACGCTACTCAGCCAATCAAATCGGTGCAGTCAGTGACTCAGCACGATAGATTAAAAAACACACACAGAGACGAGACAAGAAGAGAGAAACAGTCGGAGTCATTTCAAATGGCGTGCTCAAAAAAGAGAAAGGTACAGTAGACAGCGAAAACAGAGCATTTAATGACATGTTCTCTTACTGGACCTCTTTGAAATGCAATTGAATACCCATGCATTATAGCAACAACAACAATAATAATATTAATAGCAATAATAATTGGGAGGGGGGGCGCGGCTGTTCTTATGTTCTCTGAGGGGAGGCTCACCTTCCCACACTTTGAAAACCCCTGGTGTAGATGATAGACACATTATTGCATCAATAAAAATAATGCAGAATTAAAAAATATATATATATATACGGAAAAGGGACATTACGCTTAACAAGTGCTTTTACTTTTAGTATTTGAAGTATATTTTGATTCAAATACTTTTAACTTAAGTAAGACTTAAATAGACTTAAGTCTAAATGCAGGACTTTTACTTGAGTATTTTTGCAAATGAGTATTGCTACTTTTCGCCAATAGAAAATCTGAGTACTTCTTCTACCACTGATTGTAGCCGATGCTAATTCCATAATAAGGCTTAATTAGAGCTACAGTACAGCTTGTAATAGAGAAGAGGGTCTTCTCCTCTAATTAAGAAGGCAGATTAACTCAATTTGCACAAATGAAATTCAGATGGTGGTGTCAGGTATGGTCCCTGAAGGGAAATGTATCATCAGTAAACAATGAACGGAACTTAAATGTCAAACATAACTGTCACTTAAACAGCATTTACTGAGAGCTCACCAACTGAAAGTAAAATGAAGGGGGAGGGGAAAAGTGCCATACCTGGTGAGATCCGACTGCTGTTGGAGTTGCTCCTGCACTTTACGACAAACTTCGCCAGCGGTGTCATAGATTTTGCCCACTTTGGTGAAGAGGGCGGCGATCTTGTCGCTGCGGAGAAACCCAGCCGCTCGTCTCTTAAGCAGGTGACCGAGGCAGGCCTCAATGGCAGCTGCAGAGAGAAGATGGGAAGACTTAGGAGCCACGATATTAACAAGAGAGGAAAGCGGGATAAAAGAGAGCAGAAAAGGGGCCAACATGAAGCAGGTATGAGAGATTACTAGCGAAAACAAAAGATGGAGGACAATAGAAAGTATTGGTTCACATTCATTCTTAAGAACAAGATTCACCCGTCTTGTTCACTAGAGCCTGGGACACTTCCTGTGGTGGGGTCCACTGACTTCCTGTACAGATGAATGACTAGAGCTAATCCGGCAATTTCTTGAGTAATGTTTGTCTATGGGCGTGTCATGTGATACTGCATTTAATAATATAAAGTATATATAGATCCTGTTTAATTCCATTTCCATTTCCACAGGATCTAGCAAGCAATTTGCATGGCTTGTTGGCAGAGGTTCACATTCAAGCCACTATGAATTTACAATAAAGCCTTTTCATTTGACTAACACTGATTAGTGACATTACTATGTAACACTCGCGCTTCTATTGGCTAGCGCTGAGCAGACTGGGCTCTGGTTTCAGACAGAGGGTGAAAAGAGCTGCTGCAGCACAGGCAGTATGAGAACAATAAAGAGCTTTGTGAACATTAAAGCATGGAGACATGTCGCAGTGGAGACACAAAATACTGATATGAACCTGAAAATGAGCAGAGTAGGGCCACTTTGGGAACCTCAGAGGGGGAGTTGGTGTGTTTCCAGATCCTTGATGGACTGAAATATAACCCGAATTTTTTAATTCAAAACCTTTTTCCGAGTTGACCTTTTGTCCTGAGAGAGTGGCACTATGGAAGCCTGTGAAATATCCAAAATGGAAAAGTGTCATCCCCTGTTGAGTAATGTGCTCTGTAATTTTTCCTTTGATTTGAAGGCAGATTTTCTTAAAATACACATTTTTACATCCAGATTACTCACATCTGACCAGTCATTGAGCTACAATATCTTCTCCTGGACCAAATGATTGAGGGTGTTAGATCTGCAGTTTCAAATGTGTCATTTGTGTGCAAGCACAAGAGTATAAAGAGAACGTTCAAGTGAATTTAAACCATACACCGTCCTCTGTATCTGCACCGATGTCAACATGTTTCTGTGAATCGTCTCTTGATTTTTCCTCCAGGCTCTCTCAGAGTTTTGCTAATTGACTTGTGTGTGGAGATAATGTTGTTAGGGAACACTTTCCTCTGTATTTTTGTTCTAGGGGAGAGATGACGGCAGCTTATTCAATTAGAAGCAACACAGTCACCTGAAATGTGATTTTCAGGAGTGAGGCCCGATTGTTGGCCGCCTACAAGCCTTTAAATATTTAGAGGGTTGGAGGCAGTATCCGTGTGCAGCTGCTCCCTGAGCGTGCCCTTTTACTCCGCGGGTGCTCGTGTCGCCCATTCGTTACCGGAAAGATAAGACAGTATAAACTTTAATGATCTCTGTGGGGAAATTGGTGTCTGCAGCAGAAAGAGGAAAAATGGTGGGTGGCAATTTCTGTGCAGCAACAGCCAATGTGACCATGATTCGAAAAAGTAACTCTTTGAGGAAATCCGCCTTAAAAAGTATAACGTGAATAACATACATTATGTGCAAAGTGTGCGAAACATTGATATAGGATGTTTTCGAAAAGGAAGAAAAATACCAACTTTATCCTGTACTGTATATACAAAGTGTACAAGACTGAGACACTTTGCCATGCTACAACGCAGGATCTGTTTGGTATTTCGATACATGTTTTGTGTGTGAGACCTATAGTATATTGATTAAAAAAAGAATTATGCCCAGCCCTTTATTACCACAATGGAACAAATAAGCATTTTTATATTAAAATATATAAAAATTGAATAAAAATACACATAAATCACCAGGTTCATTATTTTTCATTATAAGAGTGTTACGCATTTATATTTTCATGATCAGATCGGCACAGAAACATTACCAGTGCTGGTTTGTTTGGGGGACTGAAAAATGATAGTATTAAGGTAATTAACTTGCTGATGTTCATATATCATATGAAGCAACAAGAATAATCACCCAGGGAAATGCATTGACTCGAAAACAGTCTCTTTCAAGCCCCCCCCCCCCCGTCCATTAGCTGTCTCCCTCCCTCTCTGCAATTGCTGCATTAATGTTCAGCCATAATGAGCCTTTTAGGACTGATTCTAAAAGCAACATGTAGCACGATTATTCAAACAAACACAAACAGAGAATCTGCCTCGTACGCATTTATATGTATGTGATTCAATGCGGTTTTATAAGTACAAATAAAATGCTAACCTATTAAATTAAATAATGGGTTTCATGCAAATGGGTATCACAAGAATATAAATAAATAATAACTCTAGAGAAAGCTGCGTGTCTGAGCACCCTGAGCTTTTTCTGCTCGTATTTCCCTCAGTGAGTTGAATCTAGTGGATATTACAGCGGAATATAATGACCGACAACAACATCATTCTCCGTGATGCTGGGAAAACATGCTTTATGAGCGTAATAGTCTGCTTTTATTGCTGCTCCCGGAGCCTTACAGGGAGTGCTTGAGGTTTTAGCTCTAAAAGTCTGTACAGTATATTCACAGCAGCTTTATTCTGGAAGATTAACAGACAGAGAAGCATAATGCCATAGTTCATTATTATAAAGCTGTAATATAAGTCTTAGGGTTTTTTTATAGGGATTAGGGCTTTAAAGTTGTGAGGTTTGCAGACAGTGATAGTCGTGGAGGGAGCATTAATGCATGGTTGTTTCTGTGGAAACACAAGAAGGGAGCGAGCGGCTCTCACCGGGGAGAGGCCTCCTCTCATTCTGCTAATTCATGTTAGGGTGTGTGTGGCTCTAATGACTCATCAAATCTTTTCTATCATGTTCGTTATTGCCTTTATATTGGGTTTGAGGAAAAAACATTTAGAAATATGTGCTTTGTTTTAACATAGTTTCTCACAGGACTGTTACACAACATTCGCATTACAGAATGGATTAGTTTTCGTGTAGCCCATTTGCCCGACTCCAGAGGTCAGGTTCAAGTGAAAACCCAGAATAGCAATCTTCACAGATCTATCACAAAGATATGTCTGCTGCTGGAGGACCCTAGACTCACTATGCCCACCAACACACACCTACACAGCCCACAGTTACACAATTGTATTGATCTCTCGGAAATGGAAGTTTTGATGGATTTTGAATTTGAACGGACGTTACATGGCTGTTTGTATTCTGAAAAAAAGTGTAATTTTTTGTTTGTCCACCAGTACAATTAGGGGCCAGAATGTAGCAGCCAACCTTTATATTAAAGGAGAGGTGTCATGGCCATTTCCACTGATCATAATTCCATTGTTGAGGTATACTAAAATAGATTTATACTGTGCATTTTTCCAAACTCACATTGGTTTCGCATACAGCATCTCTGTAAAGTATGTGTATTCAGCAGTATTCACTCTCTCCACTAAACGGCTCGTTACGGCTCGTTGTAGCTCCAATAGCTCCAGCCCCCACCCTCCCTGTGAGCACAGTGTGCTCTGATTGGTCGGGACGTTGTGAATCGCGCTGAGCTCCGTGGAGGTGTTGTTTCCTTGTTTAGCAAACATAGCCAAACACAGCCAAACTCATCCTGAGCACACACAAACTCACAACCGAAGTAAAAACAATAAGTGTGGCTTGATATTGAGTAAGAAAAAGGTTGATAAACGCTGTGAGAATGGGTCTGCAGAGAGAATTTTGCCGCGATCCCAACTGTCTGTTATCAGCCTGCAGCCAGGGAGGAGAAATCAGCAGAACTGCCTACACTGAGTGTGTGTGTGTGAGGAAGTCCGTCAATCAGCGGGGGCTTAACGTAACGGCTCCACGGATTGGTCCATTTGGTTCCGGGTACCGCTTGACCGTATCGCGTCATAGCTCTGGGCGTGGCTACTGGGTATCCACACGTCACAATGGCCAGGAAGAACATGAGAAAGTTCCAACGAGGCGTTTTGGGGAGGTCTTTTCTGTGTTAGAGTTTTACTCGCTACAGGGTGTACTTTGAGGGTTTTTGACTCTGCAGACCATTTACATGCATAAAAACCTTCATAACACACAAGGGGACGGGTAATAACCGGAGGAATGAGTCCTAAAACCCGAAAATGAGTTCGAATTTTACCATTTCCACTTCCCCTCGTTTCGATGTCAACGTTTTTTAACACGTTTGTGGTTAGAAGCCTTAAATTAGGTATTTTGTTAACACTAGCACAAGAGATGTTCACGTTTTGTACCATAACATAAAATACGCCATTAAATGTCCAAAGCTTCTATGAAACTTTGAAAAATGGCGGTTGCTAACAGGTGAGAAATTATATTACCAAACGACATCATGCCAACATGAGGCGGCCTTTAGCTACGCACGCAGTCATGTGACCATGATATGGTTCATTTTATAACATGCTATAGCGAAATCCAATGGGAAATGGTATTTGTCGAGGGAGCCCTTGTGAGGCTAACTTGGCCTACAACATGTTTTAATCACAGCATTCCTACACACCAACGCTAAGTGTGGTGCTTCTTCCAGTGACAGCAGCTCCATGGAGAAACTTAGAGACAATCCAATGACAACAGGAGAGTGTTTGTACGATAAGACTTCGGAAGTAATTACAAGTAACAATAAGTAAGTACCCAGGTAAGATAATCAGGATACAACAATAAAGGTAACTGTATTCCTTACAGTTCTAATCATTTCATGGCGGATACTTTCTGAAGCACACAAACAGTCACACCTCCACAAGTCCCTGCGCAAAAGCTCTAGATTTAGAATGAATGCAGCCGACATGGTCAACCTTGCACACCGGTACATAGCCTATGTACAGAGCACACAGCATACCCTGCTTATTGTCTGGGGGTCCAAAGCCTTTATGATGATGCCGGAAACCTCATGAACACAAAATTAGATCTAAAAAAAGAGGCTAAAGTGTTGATGAGAAATAAAAAATGTTCTCAATACATTGCTTATTTACGGTATAATACATGTTATGTTTTCAATATATGTTTAGTT